AACTGATTACTTTCCTCCAGAATCTATCAGTTTCCAATATTTCTCAAGAGAGAAGCCAGTCCAAAGAACACCTCTGTTAATGGGTCTAGTATTATGTAGACTCATTTTAAAGAATCATGGTCTCTCTGATTTAGGGGTACATCAGTAAAGTCACAGGGAGAATATAAGATTTCAAAGCCATATTTACCACCATCTGGATCTTACACTCTTTAAGAATGTAATCTAATTTTCCAAGTTGTTTTCTGAGCCTTGAAGGGATCTTATGGATTTTCAGTTGAAGATTTAGAACACATCAGTTCTTATTCTCACTTATTCTCGGCAACCTGACTAGGCATGACTTTCTTCATTAACCTCCATTTACTATAATAAGAAACTTTTTTGAATAATTCCTTAGACAGAATTATTTTGAGGATATAAGCCTACATGTTTATCAGTTGTTTTGACAAAATTTTCATTAAACATAACAGAAGTAGTAAGTTCAACCCTGAAACCCCAGGTAGCCATCCCAGTTTAATGTTTCCATTTCCACTTTCATACAACTCATGTTCCATTCTCATTCCTCAAAATTCCTTGGGTGGATTTACACTAATTTCCTGACTTCTACAGGTACACCAATTTAAGCATACTTACCCAAAAATTCAAATTGACAATCAACATAGAATCTCTTTTTTGATCTGGTTGACCTCACTCAAAATTATTTCCAGATCTGTTCATTCATCTGAACATTTGTGTGAAGCTGAAAAGTATTCCATTTTTAACATGTAGTGCATTTTGATGATTGATTCATCTAGAATGTTACCTGAGTATTGTCAATAGAGCAGCAATGAATATGGATGGAAATAACTCTGCAGAAAGATATCAAACCCTTCAGGAATGTGCCAAATAACAGTATAGTTGGTAATATGATGCACCTGTCTCCTCTTATTTTGAGAAGTTTCCTCATTGATTTATATAGTAGTTGTACCAGTTTGTACTCCCATCAAGAATGAATAAATGTTCTTTTTCTTGCACATCCATGCCAGCATTCACTGACATTTTAATTTTTAATCTCGGTTATTCTGATTGGAATGAGATCCGAAAATAGCTAGTAAAGCATCTTATACAACTGCTGCCATTCAGTTACTTATAAAAGAATAAAATTAGATCTTTATCTCTGACCTTTTGTGAAACTCAAATGCAAATGACTCCAATATAAGACCTTAAACATAGAATCAGCTGAAGGAAAAAACCATCAATTACATTTGAACTCATAGGTAAATTAAAGGCTTAATGAATAAGGTCCTCAGTATTACAGGTATTAAGAAAAATAATTGATAAACGGGACCTCATGAAACTACATAATTTCTGTTCAAGAAATTACATCTCATCAGAGTAAAGAAAATGCCTAAAGAATAGGGAAAATAATCTTACTAGTTATATCTCTGACTGGGGGTTAACATACAGAATATATTATACAAATATACAGAAAATTGAAAAGAAACATAACACCAACAAATAGAACCCAATCAAAAAAGTTTAGGAAAGAAGACAGACTTCTGAGTTTGAGGCCAGTCTAGTCTACAGAGTGACACCCAGGGCTACACAGAGAAACCCTGCCTCAAATAAATGAAAGAAAGAAAGAAAGAAGAAAAAGAGAATGGGAGTCGCATAGGTCAATCAGTCACTAAAGTAAGCTAAACTGTCTTGAATTACATTTATGCCACTTTATCCAACATGAACAGTTAGCCAGAAAAACTAAAAATAGGTACTCTTTTTTTTTTTTAAGGAAAAGCAGTGACTTCCAGAATCATTAACATGTCCAAAAGGACCAGAAACTTGAACAATTCCAGTAGAGAATTCAAGGGAAGATAGATTCTCTGGGAAGCTGACTCATGCACAGAGAAAACTGTGATATGACAAAGTAAAGAAACTGTTTATGCCCCAAACATCCCAGTAGCACAGACAAAAAGAACAGCAACATCAAATTTCATAATTAGAATACTTAACACATAGCATAATCTTGTTCTGACAGAATTATCAGTGAACACAAGAAGATCAGGCAGCTTGGACAGCCCCATTGGCACCTTGGTCAAACAGCCACTACTTACTGTTCAGGGGCCCTGCCCCATCCAAGAATGCTTATTTTGCATATGAGTATATGTGAGCAGGACCTAAGCATGTGCATTCTGTATACAGAAGAAGCAGGAAGAATATTTGAGATCCATTACATGAGAGTACAAACAGTGAAATGTTAACTGCTCTTGTGTACCTGTCAGAACATACTTTGAGGATGTGACTAGCCACCAAGTGAACCTCCCCAACACTCCAACTATTTCTTTCCTCTCTCTGTCCATCACACTTATATCTCTAACATCTCATCAATTTTAGTATGGGCCTGGAAACAAGTAAATGTGTGAAACTGTAGGCATACCAATTTTTCATATGCATAGTAAGTATAAAATTGAATTTATAAATAAGATACAGAAGAGGTTAAAAATAACTAATGACATAAAAGAAATACTATGAGAGTACACTCTAATTAAATCATCAGCATCAGTGTTCTTCTAATGTGGAGCCATTAATTACAAAATGAAAAAGGAATGCTTCTTTAGCATACAATCTCGTATCTCAAGTGTCATCCTGTTCACAGAGATGGCTGTGGAATGAATAATTTGCTGATGACTTTTGCTCAGATGGGACAAGTGTTAAGATGCAAGATATCAACACTACACTCAAACGGCCATGGCTCTTAAATTCTCCAATTTTTTATTTCTGAAAAATATCATGCATTATCTTGAAATGCAATGGATTTTAGGCAACTGGTATTATAACAAATGAAAACATAGATTTTGATAGATGAGAGATACTTTTTGAGAGTAGTCTTCATAAACCTAGTATATTTCATGGCCCAGTACATTTTTCCACAAGCAACAGATTCTTGGTATCTTTCAAGTTCCTTGGTATCACAGGATGATAAGCAGAGTAGACTGAGGCCTGGTAGCTTTTAATCTCATGTGTTTCTGAATTGGACTCTAGCTTTATAGAGCTCAGGCAGGGTGCTGGACTCGTAAAAACCTGAAGCATGAATTTCCAAACTTCTGTGTTTTCCATAACAGGAATACATGCACTCAGGATTCTTCCAATTGTATATCTAAAGAAGTATCATGATGTGGGAGTGTCATATATCAATCTGTTGATTTCATTGGTTAAGTTATAATAAACCAGCTGCTTGGCCTCATGGCTTGGAACATAGATGGGAGGAGTAAACAGAATAGAATTCTGGGCGGAAGAGGAAGTGAGGTCAGACTCTGCGCTGCTTCCAGAGGGACCGGACAGACCCGACAGCTCTGCTGGAGCAGAGACGCCATGCTCAGCTCTCCCAGGCAACTCCAACCCACGATGGACTTAGGCTAGAATCTTCCCGGTAAGCGCACCTTGGGGTGCTTACACACATTATTAGAAATGGGCTAGTCCAGGTGCGAGAATTAGCCTGTAAGGGTTAGAGTTCATGGGCCCAGCAGTTCTTAAATGAATATAGTTTGTGTGTTGTTATTTCGGGCATGAGCTAGCCAAGCGGCCGGGGTGTTGGGGACGCAGCCCCGCCGCTCTTATTTCAACAGTATCATGAACCTCAGCACACACAATACACTCATAAGAACTGGTACATCGTGAAATACAACAGGAGCAATGAGTTCACTGATTGTCACTAATACCACACAGCAGTTCTGTATAGTCCACAAGGTAAGAATTCAAATATGATATGATGATTATTAAGAAAATAAACAGAATTAGCAGTTCAACTTTAAAACAAGGGTTCTACCTTTTCTAATAAGTAGCATGTGGTCCTTTCAAAATCTGACATGTGTCCTGGCATAAGGTTATGGACCACACTGATCTTTCAGCAGCTCCTGGAAGAAGCTTTATTCTAAATCATCACTAGACCAATGACTGCCCCCAGTTTCCCTGATATGGAGCATGTTGGGAATGTTTTTTCTACATCCTTCCAGAAGACATTACTTATGTTCTCTTATTCAAGACAGTTCAACTCTCTGCCAAATGAGACTCCAATATATGTCATGATGAGGCATCTAATCATATACCAAATATACTTGTATTTTAAATGAATTACCTCAAACAGGAAAAGCTTGTTGTTTAAGGACCTGAGTTGACCCCTGTCAGCGCATGTTTAAAAAAAAATTCTGGGTATGGTAGGATGTGTCTGTCATGTTAGCACTAGAGAGGCAGAGACAGGGTATTTCCCTAGGCTGACTGGCAAGTATGTTTAGCCCAATCTGTGAGCTTCAGATTCAGAAAGAAACACTATCTGAAAAATCTTAGTGGAGATAAACTGAGGAAGACACCCAGCATTGAATTCTGCCTTCTACAAAACAACTACACACACACACACACACACACACACACACACACACACACGGGTTATGCACTGTGCATACAAACTCGATACAAATATAAAGGTACATACACACGCTACTACATACCAGTATTTCTCAACTTCCTGTTGCAGTGACCCTTGAATAGAGTTGCTCTTGTTGAGGTGATCTCTATCCATAAAATTATTTTCATTGATAGTCATAACTGTAATTTTGCTACTAAACAAACTAACAGTTCCTAACACTATTGAATAGGTGTTTTACAAAGGTCACAACTCACAGGTTGAGAACTGCTCCTGCATACATACATACAAACATATAGAACTAGCAGATATTTCTCTTCTCATGAATGACGTGTAAGAAGAATGAAATAAATACAAACAATACCGTTCTCACAAAAGAATCATCCAATACTACATTATGACTAAAATCTGGACATGTTCAGAATACTGCTGTTTTTCCCACACCAGAAAAAGGGTAAGAGCCACCAGATTTTTCAAAACAGCAAATGATGTTTCAAAAAAGCATAACATTCAGGATAATAACTGTCTTACAGTCATAAAGAAAATAGTAATTTTTTTCATTAATTAAAATCCACAAATGCTATTTTATTGCCAAGTGATGTCTTACTTGAATTTAGGTAGAGTGGTAAGTCTTCTTTGCAGCGTTATTTCTTGGGAAATCTCAACATCCTGGAGAGCAGACTAGAGGTGGAAATAGAAAAATAAAAAACATATATAAGTCTTCAAAGCATTCCATGTAGAAGCAATGGATCGATGCATTGAACATACTGGCTTTCCCCCAGAGTTTAACATACATGTTGATGTACACATCAATCATACTCCAAGTCCCTAACATCACTGAAAAGAAAAATACAGTATTTTCAATATAGCAATGCATAGTGGATTGTTCTATATTAACCAGACACAAGTTATAGTCATCTGAAAGGGAGGAACCTCAAATAAGAAAATGTCTCCATAAGATCTAGCTGTAAAGAATTTTCTTAATCAGTGATTGATGGCAGAGAGTGAGTTCACTGTGGGTGGTGGAATCCCTGGGCTGGTGGTACTGTGCTGCATAAGAAAGGAGGCTGAGAAAGTCAGTTAGCAACACCCTTTTATGGCCTCTACAACAGCTCCTGCCTTCAGATTCCTACCCTGTTTGAGCTCCTGCCCTGACTTCTTCAGTGATGATGATAAATATAAGCTTAATGAACCCTTTCCACCTCAACTTGCTTTTGGTCACGGAGTTTCATTACAGTGATAGTATCCCTAATTAGGACAAAATGTTATAAGATTAAATTCTATGAAACTCAATTTTGGGAGAGAAGCTGTAAACATATTACAAGTGAATATACTTTATCATGCCCACACTTGCCTTTGTCAGTTACAGGCCCTTGGATCTTAACTATCAGCCTACAGAGAGACACTGAGAATGATAATCCAAGTTCAAATTCACAGTGATATTTAAAGGTTCCATTAATTCTAAAAGCTGGGGACTGGGGGTTCAAAGCATCCTTTTCCATCACACAGGAACATAATGGGCCTCATCCCTGTGAAACTAAAGAGCTACAATCAGCATAGACACGAAAACTAGACCGAAGCAGAGAAAATGAGCTTGGCCCCTGTGCAAGCATGACATAAAAATCCTTGAAGCACTTCCTAATTTTGTTGATGTGGTTAACATCAAAATCTCTTACTGATGAACCCACCTAAATTCTCTAGCAGCAGACTCAGGAAGGTGTAATTTACTGGCCCTTTGCTCTAACCTAACAAGCTATTAGTATTCTCTCTTTACCCTTCACCTTGGTTTCAATTAACACAAGATCATAGCCCAAGAGATTAACTGCTTATGCCTTTGCCTCTAGAGATGCAGGGGAAAGGGGCTGGGTCACTACACCAGTCCCAGAGAAAAAAATTCCTTCCCACTTGGGTGCCAGCAGTCACCAGTCACCCCGCAAGGAAATTCAGGTAGCATGGTGCCTCTGCCAACCAAGCCCTTTCACCTTCCTTCTAAGCCTGCAGGTTACTCTGGTTACAAATGCTGTGCTCCCAGCCACCAGGAAAGGAAGTGGAAATGCTCAGAGTCATAAACTTCTAGCTTAACTAGTTACACTAACGGGTTAGCTTCTCCCAAGGGTATAACTCACGGGCGCTGTAATGTAATCAATCAGCGTACTCCTAATAGTTTTAACTTTATTCATTACATGGCAGCAGAGAACTTGGAAATATCTAACATGCTGTTTGTTTGTACAGAGGATCTAACCAAATGGGCAACCACTCCGGTCGAGCACCATCAAATGTATGAATGACTAGAGAAATGCTGGGAAAATCTGAAAGGGAAGACTTATCCACAAAATGTTTGGATTTGAGGACTCCCTCACAAGAATTAACAGAAATGAAAACAGTCTTGTCACATACTGTGGAAGAGGAGCGTCATACCAACAGGTGAAGCAGAGCCAACAGTTCTGTCAGGACCGCAGTCTTGCTCTGATTGTTAATTGGAGGTTAGATTGCTCATTCTGTACACCTGCGACTGGCACGACAGGTTACCATGACGTCATCTTCCCTAAACAAGCTAAGCAATGTTCAACCTATGGAGCATGAGAGGAATAAAATCTTTTCTTCATAAAATTAATATGCCATGGGTAGTTGCTATAACAAAAACCATACCATTGATTATATAATAGTGTTCCTCTTTACAAACCTATAATATTTCCTACATAACCAAATAAAACATTTTTGTTTTTAAAATTTATTAAAATGGAATAAATGCATCAGATGTAAAGTAGCCAAGCTGCACGGCAGAAATGTAATGAGTCAATAAAATGATCTCATTAAAATTGTTTTTTAACATTTGCAACAATAATAATGCTAGGATTAAATTATTTTGAAAATGGTTTTATTTAAAAAGTAAATATAGTTGCCAATAATATAAAGGCTATAACATTTTATAGATTAATTCAATAAACTGAGAATCAATGCTTTTCCATCATACAAAACTTTTGCTTTTTAGACAGTCATTGTTTTAAGTACATAAAAATATCTCTGTCTAGAGACTGATGCCTACTGAGAATATTCCTACTAGATCATGTAGTGATTTTTAAACTTGTTTAATGGACAAATATTTAAATCTGTTTGTAAAGTTTTGTTTCTTAGGTGTACAAGCAATCTAAGTGAGCGCATCCATGATAGAATGTATGTACTGGTTACAGGTAAGTTTGAAAGGTGGAAGAAGAATCCAGAGGCAGGCACAGTAGTCTATTCTGTAGGAGAGGTGCAGGCCTAAATAAATAAATAAGATAGAATATGTTGGTGCCCAAAGGTCAGAGAGTTGAGACCTATTCTTGTTCCTTCGAGGTTATTGACAGGAGGGTTGACCCAGGATGTGGCTACTAACAGGAGGTTTTGGCCTAGGGTGTGGTTACTTGATGCTTTGGGCATTTCATTTAAGAAGGTGATACCTTTATTTGTTTCTTGCATTTTGGTAAAGAGGTCTTTTTTTTTTTCTTCCCACTCCTCTTTGGATTGTGGTATAGAAAGCCTATGAAAAATAAATGTGGGTGGATTCAGTATTCACTGGGCTGCCCTCCTGACTCTAACTGTGTCTCTGTCCTTTCTTTTGTATCTCTGCTTTCTTCTGCCTAACATTTCTAAGCTACATGCCCCAACCCTGGACCTTATGAACCCATCAAGGCTGGATCCTGAAAGGAATGAAAGGCAAAACAGTTTAGGTGCTTTGAATGGATTTTTTCTATTTGTATATCAGCAAATCTGAGTGGTGAAGGGATAGAGAAAGAAAACAGAAAAAGAAAAAAAAAGTTTATGGCACGGCATGTATTATGTGATATACCATAAATAAAATTGCAACCAATTATCACCTAGTGGCTAATGTGTGATCATTGTGGTTCAGTTAAAATGCAACACAGTTTTAAGTGTCCTCATGTCTGAAAAGTATGTCTTTACACTGACAGACAGCAGTCAGTGAGGATTGTCACTCATGGAGCATGACCGACAGGCATCCCTTTAACATCATGACACTGAAACAGAAATCTCCCCGTGTAAAAAACCTCTTTTATTTAAATTTTTAATTCTTCTTGAGCGTTTCACCCAAGTACTGTATTCTCATCATTTTCACTCTTTCTTCTCTCACCTCCAAATCTTCCTGTATCCTTTCTATGCCCATTTCTTCTTTAATTACACAAACAGTCTACTCAGCCCATTTGCTGCTGTGTGCATGTACTTGAGTTTAAGGCTGATGACAAAGAATAGGATAGCCTATGAAGGAGCATTTTTTTCTTGGAGAAAACTAATCCTTCCTCTCTTAGCAGTCACTGCTTTCCTGAAACTATTTAACTAGTGATAGGGCCTTGTGAAATTTCCACAACCTTCGTTGATATGTCAGTTGGTATTGCCATTATATTGATTTTGTTTAGGCAACAATATTATTGAGAGTCAAGGACACACTATCTATCTCCAGATATCCTTTCCCTGCTGTTCTTTTTTATTTAAAATATTTTTTTTCATTTTACATGCTAGCCCCTGGATTCCTTTTATCTAATCTTTCATCTATTTCTTCTTTAATTTTCACTCATCCTAAGGTGCAGATGTTTTAACTGGGGCTCTGAATTACAGAGTCACAAATTTTCTGCACATTGGCCAGATGTGGGTCCCTGTTACCACCTCCATCTGTTGTAAAAGAGATGTTTCTTTGATGAGGGATGAGAGCTACATTTATCTGTAGACATGAAATAATTCCATAAACTAAAGCTAGAAATTACATTTGTTTAGGAAACTGGCAATTACTGGGCTCTTCTCTAGGATCCATCTATGCCTTTCTTCGTCGTAAGTAGTTGGGTAGGTTTATAACATCATGCATAAATTTCTTCCTATTGAGTAGATTAGACTTAAATCCAATTAGCTAGCTCTTGGTTATCCACAAGAGAAAAGTGCTCATTCCATCATAAGGAATATTTTAACAGCTCGGTCCTTATTATTATTCCTAGGCTTTTCAGATAGGTAGGACAATCAATGGATTTTTCTCCAGCTTGCATATTACATTCAGATACCAAGAGAGCTATTTTCCCCTTGCTTCCCAAAGATCAGTACCTTTATGTCAGACATGAGAAACCTACATTTGATTTATTGATCAGGAGGTAGTCTAATAAAATCCCCAAACATTGAGCATAATCATAAGGGCTTTGTTCCACTTTACATAAATATTCTGATTTGTAACCTGCCCTTCCTGATTTATTTTCATTAGTATAGAATGTAGAGGCTCTAATTATTGGTGTGTTCAATACAGTGTGGGGAAGAATGCAATTAGCTCTCTTTATAAGTCAAATTCTCTCACTTTGGGGATAGTTGTTATTAATCTCTCAAAAAAACATAGTATAAGCTCTTTGCCAGGGTTCACTGTCTTCCCATAATTTGTTAATTTCATGATGATTAAAAGGTCCTATAATTTCTTCGGGGTCTATTCCTGCTAAATGATGAAGGCTCAATTTTCCTTGCATAATTAATTCAAAGACCTTTTCCACGAAAGTTTTCAATTTTTTACAGGGTTTATGTGATAAAAAAAATCCATTCTAAGATAATATCTTCCCTCTGTATTAAAATTCCTGTATGGGACTATTTAGGTTATTATGACCAGAACGCAGTTACAATTCAGATCCACACGATCCACATGTGCCTTCTGTAATTTC